ACTGTTAATCAAAAGCAGCAGTTTTCCCCCAAAACTCCACACAAACAAACAGTACGGTGCCTTATTAAACTCGTACGTCAGGTCTTGCGTTGCCGTCTCAGGGCGTAAAAGAGAGCAGAGCTGGTAAATTAATGAGAAAATAACTCTGGCTTTTGTGATTTCCCACCTCATGTTAGGGGAGGGGATATTTTTGTCAGTTGTTAATTACTGTCATATGGCTACAGCACCTTTTTCCCTGAAATGACAGCGAATGGAGGGAGGGTAAGGATGGAGGTGGGGGCACGAAAATTAACTCGACTCTGGGAGTGTGATCTTGTCATGTACCTGATGTACAAGGGAACATGTCTTACCCTGCTTTGGATGAATCTCATTTATTTACGTTTTTTCATGCTTTGCAGTTATTTAATTTCCGTAGTAACTGCATAGCAAGATCACAGCTTCCAGTCACATGAGAAGTGACTGAAGCAAAACAGTAATGCTACAAATGCTTATAGTCTACCTAAACTTGTTCTGCTCTACCTTTGAAATGTACTGGTACCTTCTGATAATGAACCAACTGTGGCCTACACTCCAAATGCACAATTATGAAATCAGTTCAATTCAAATAGTGTCAACAGTCCTGGGATTACAAACGCTGAATACATCTTACCTACTCACTAATACCACTATTACTGGTATTACAAACCATTACTACTTTATTTTGGTTTTTGGACATTATGCAACTCTAAAGCACTGCTGTTTCTTGAACGTTCTACCTAAATATTAGAATGTTTCACGCTGGGAATAAGGATAATTATGTCTTAATGCTTTCCTATCTGTACACATATACAAAAAAACTACAGACACTATTCAATAAATATCAATAGAGAGATGGTGTCCACAGTCGATATGAAAGTACACTAATTGTGATCAGAAGCAAATAAACATGATCTGGTCGTCTTTATTTTGAACAAGCCCTTTGACTCTCCACCGAAAAATGTTAATATTAGTCACTTTAACAAGGCTGTGACTCAGATCAGATCGTTCCATGCAACCTGTAAGATGCAGGCCTGTTCATCGATGGTACTTCAATATAACTGATTCATGTTTTTGACAGCAGGGCTGACACAGAAACTTTTGGATTGGCTCTGCCACAAGGCAATGTTTCAAACATCCACCAGATATTACAAATAGTCAGCAGTCCTCACAGAATTAGCTTCTGAAATAAAAACGCTGTTTGTGCTATTAATATGACCAATTGTACAATTGCTCCTACTGCCACATGAGTTCACTCAAATCCCTGGGTTCAGTCAGTGAGGTTGAAAGTGGGTCCTTGGTAAAAACCCACAGCAATTTTCTTCTACATTCTCCACTTCTCTGTCTTGCCATTTTGTCCATTTAAAACTTATAATGGCTGTTAGGTGTAGGAGTATGTGGCACTCAATAGCCGGTGAATGTCCACTTCACACATATCGGCAGTGTAAAGGACAGAACGTCGCTCTGCGCCTGGCTGGGGATTGTCTCCATTTCCTGGTTGACCGCTTCGATAGCTCCTACTGAGGAGGGAGGGGTCATTACTTCCCCTATCACAGGCCGGTGACCTCAAACCATGGCCTGCAAATGCTAACCTTTTCTCGCCCTTCCAAAATCAAATCAATAACACTTTGGCCAAGAACAGGGAAACACTGTGTTGGCATTAATCACCTGCCCTTCCATGCTTGACTCTGCAGTTTGTTCCTCGATGTCTGGCTCTCTGTTTGGTTTAGAGGTAATGGATGGCTGGCTGTGTGGGAGACTGACTGACTGGTTTCCCTGCTGAATAACTGGCTGCATTTCAACTTGAGTTGAAGCAGACAGTCATCAGTCAGGGCTGAATGGCTATCTAGAATGAGAGGTTAACTATTACGTCAAGTCCGGTAGCCCAAAATCACAAGTTTACAAGTTTGATCCAGACGGTTTTACAATCTGTATCACATATGAGACCCATTATATAGACATATGATCCAGATGAGAAAAAAGATAGGAGAGACCTCAGGAGGATTAATGGAAGAGGGATCCCTGTCCTGGTACAGACAGACATGCAATAGATGCCATATGTAAAATAAATGCAGTGCTGGAAGAGGGGAATTAGATTAAAGAGACACATATGTCTAGAAAACCACAAAATACAAAGTATAGAAGTACCAGAAAAGGACAACAACATTACTTCACTTCACCAAGAACTGCAAAAAACAGTAACGTAACAACAATCTAGCATATTTGTCCACAATGAATGAACCAGACAATAACAGATGTTGTGACAATGGGATGAAATCAGATTCATTTCAAGTATTCACAAAAAGGAGCTTCAATTAAAGATGCATCAGTAACTCAGTCTTACAGGTTTAGCCTGTCTCACATTGTGGTGCATTGTGGGGATTCTGGGTAGTAGTGACGATGGAGCAACATTGGTTAGGGGTGTACGTGTTACAACAATAAAACAACAGCCAGACGGAAATGGTTTCATGCACAAAGAAAAGCAAATATTAGGTCTACTATTCCCTGGGCCATCTCGACTATGGTCAGGAGGAAGGCGGAGAAAGCAACAACAGGTTTTGCATCACTGAGATAAAACTGCTTTTTTGGTCTGCAACATCTTAAAAAAATTTCAAAACAGCAGAAAACGCCTTTAGGTGAGTTGTATGGAGCAGGAATTGGTTTTGAATCTGAGCATTGAAAAATAAACATCCCTGGACAAATACTCATTCTAACGTTCCCTTTAAAACTGATTTTCCTCTAAGATTAGCCTACATGCACACCAATCATTTTAATCATCTGAATAGTCATTTCAGGGTCAAAAGATTTCCCGTTGGAGCTTCTTTTGAAAATCCACATCCTGATTTGATTTGAGTGAATTCAGCCCACCGTTGGCTTGCTTCACACTTGTCAAGTGTTCCCTGTCCTTCCTGTGATTGCATTAGCGGAGCCTGATATCAGCCCTGCAGTCCCATCCACATAAATACTCCTCTCGAGGCTCTTGTGTAAGCACATACAGGTGCAGCCATAGAGGGCCTAGCTTGCGTTGACAGGAAACAGGTGTCTGGCTATTGATAGCGTCCTGATGAGGGTGGGGGAAGGGGGGAAGAAATGCAGGGTATGAAAATCAGGTGGGTTGTTGTGTGGTCCCTGGCTATAGCGACTACTAATTGTTACCAACGATTTTGAGTCTATTTTTGTGGCCCGATGCCAGATGGTTGCGGTTATCAAGGGAAAGAAAGGGAAGGTAGTTGGTGTCGATAACAGGTTGTTGATTCTTGATGGAATACGACCTCAGGGACGCCTTAACACCTGCTTAAAAGATATGTGAATTTATTAACAGTATGTAAATGTGTGTACGATCTGTAGGTGTATGTTTGTATGCTTCCGCACAGTTTCAATTTGCAAATATTGGCCCAAGTGTGACTTCCAGGAAAGTGGTAACACTTAACCTACTCGTGGTCTAAACTGTATGTCAAAATGGTTTCCTGTGTTGAATACTAATTATCACTGCACAAAGCAATCCCTGCACACAAAGTACATTCAGGGTCCAACCGAGTCCAAATAATCTTTCCATGTACCAATGGATTATTTTCAACCACCAGTCAACCTGAGCTGCTTGTATTTCTACTATGAAACACGGGCAGAACATTCTAACACACAGGACTAAATCTGTGAATCGATCCTGGCGCTTTCTTAGTAAGACGTGACAGTGATAAACACTGGGTCACCTTATAACCTTCCTTCACAAAGACACTTACATTATATCCAAATGACTCCAAATATTTGAATTATAAAAACAAAAGCTAATTTAAATATTACTATCAACAGCGAGAGAATAAAACCAAATATGTAAAGTACAAAAATACCTTTTTTGTGAGAAAAGAAAAAAATAAATTAATACTAGTAGTATTACATTGAATACCATGCCTTTGCCCTCAAATAGTTCAACTCTGAAGTGTAGCCTTACAGAATAACATTGCTTCACACTTAACACAGTATAGCGACTCCAGTGGTGGGAAAGTGCCTCTGCACCCAGGAGAGGGGGAAAAGTAAACAGAGTCGACATGAAATCGATGCCTAAAACACCTTAATCTTCCAATTAAATCTCTTCAGTGGCTGCGGTGAGATGGTAACTGTGATAAGTGCAGGTTGGAGTGAGGCAAGAAGGAGGAGGAGGGAGGAAGAGGAGAAGGAGGAGGTGAAACCTACACAGGTACGTCTGTCACGGGTAATTACCTTCTCAGTGCCCTCGGCTCTCCAAGCTGCCAGTCGTCTGTCTGTCAGAGAGATCAGCTTACCTCTTGTCTAGGAGTGTGTGTGTTAGGGTGTGCACTGAGTGAGTGTTTCTGATAGAGATAAAATGAGCGAGTGTGTCTGGCAACAAGGAGATAATTTGTATAAGTGTGTCAAGAAAGTGGGTGTATGAGCAGTGTGTGTGCATACAGGTGTGATGACATGATGAGCGTTTGCACAAATGAGTGTGTGTGTGCAGAAGGGAGCTGTTTGCATGCCTGTGTGTGTGTGCAGTATGTGCTGAGTGTGTGTATATGTCTGTGCTAGTCTACAAAAAAATTCATCTTTAATTGAAAAGTGTGTGTGTGTCTCTTGACTCTACAGAAAGATTGTGTGACAAGAGTGGGTAGGTGAATGAGTGTGTGTGTAGTGTAGTTCAGAGAGAGAGAAAGTGTGTGTGAGAGACTAGGAAAGAACATTTGTGTGTTTGTAAAAACTGTGAGCGTGAAAATGCGCTAAGTAAGACAGCATGTACCTGGAGAGAGAAGTGAGTGGGAGTGAAAGTGTGTGCTTCTTTGCCAGCCCCTTCTCCACACACACATATACACACACCTTTCTCAACCCCACAAAGCGGCCATTGAGAAGTGAAAAGGTAGCAGGCCGATGGGAGGGATTGTTGTGCAAACAGGCGAACACAAAGGAGGCTGGTGTGTGTTAAGAGGCGGCGGGCAGGTAATAGAGCAGACATAATGGGAGCTAAGTACCTGTAATCCTTGGAGATATCACTCCAGACAAGAGCGGGACTCTGGATAATTCCCTCCGGTTGGTGTAATTGGTCCCTTGCCAGGTTGGAGTGTGTGTGTTGTGGGGGGGTTGTAGGGTGTTTGGGCGCAGTATCAGGTGTGAGAGGGCGTCAGCTGCACTGAGTGCCTCCTATTGATCCAGGAGGGAAAGTGTGCATGTGTTTTTTGTGTGTGTTCCTGACCCAAATTCAGTTGGAGGCATCTGGCAGGGAAAAGGCACCTACCTGATTCACCAGCAGTCGGGGTGGCAGGTGCAGGAGGGGTGGATGGAAAGATGATGATGATGAAAATGATGGTGATACTCTGTGGTTAACTCAGACACCACTCTTGTCCTGCCAACACAACAAGGTAAAAAACCATCAGTATATTGTTCAATTACTCATGATATCCTACAGCTGCCTTGGGAACATTATTATATATATGCTCGAATTATATACATATGCTCCTTTTTTTTCAAATCAGCAAATTACTTGGCAAAAACTGTTAAAAAAACAAAGACAATGATCCTTATTCATGTGCAATGCTGTATCACATATCACATTTTCTACTGTTTCTGTTTGGCTGCTCTTTGACACTGGGAGCATGCATGTCATGGGAATGTACACCAGACAACACGCGTCAAACCAAGCTTAAGATTTCACCCAAACTCTTAAGATGTCACAACCCTGCCCTCATTGAATGACAGGTGAGCAGCGCACAGATAACAAAAATGAAGTTGAAAAGATAGCATTGATGTCTCACTTTTTTATTGCTTTAAAAAACATTTGTCCCTGTAAGCTGCTGAAGCATGAGTCAGTGTCAATGAGAGGACATGATTAAATTAAGGCTATGTGAAAAAATGTGTGTGTGCAATGCTTACACATGCATGCATTCCTTGCACATGTGCGTGTGTCCCATTTCTTCTGGATATCTGCTAATTGTGCATTTCATTTCTGCTCAAGTGACTCTTTTAAAGCCAAAACAGATACTGAGAGTTTGAACGCCGAGAGCGACGGCGAGGAGCAAGGACGAGAAGAAGAGACAGAGAGGATGGGGGGGAAGCAGAGATAAGAAACAGGAAAGACAGCTGCTCTTTTCCCTCTCATTTCATCCAGTTATTGGTTAACTCGGTGGAAAGAAAGTAAATGTTCAAGGGATTTCAGGTCGGCCCCTGCCTCCGCCAAGGTAGACGTGCACTCCACTTGAGGTCTAATTCAACTCTTGTGTAGTATTGATCGCGGCGGCTGCCACGAGGGAGCCCGCCAGTCTTTCCTTGGACCAAGGTAGACAACGGTGAGAGAAAAACGTGTTGTAAAATGCCTCCCTCCCTCATCCACTCCCCTGTTGATATCAAACTGCTGCTTTTTTTCTTATTCTTCTTCTACCCACTTTTGAGTGCATTCGTTGTTTTTTCCCCTTCCGATTTTGCTGCAGAGTGATGGAATACCTTTGGAAAACAGCCGCAGGGACCAGCAGCGTTCACCACTCAGACAATGTAAATTGAACAAGAACAGGAAGACAGTTGTGTGTTTGTTAATGCAAGTGTATGTGCGGGCAGGCATGTGTGGTGGTATGGGTCTTCTCCAGGGTTTTTACATGAATTTATGTAAGTACATAGGAGTACAGTGTGTGTGTGTGTGTGACCGTGTGTGTGTGTGTGTGTGTGTGTGTGTGTGTGTGTGTGTGTGTGTGTGTGTGTGTGTGTGTGTGTGTTAGTTAGTTTGTTGTCCATGCAGCAAGGGCTGAGAGCTGATTCAGCTGCACGTGGATAGGGGATCAGAGGGCGGGGAGGTGGATGGACGGTTGCAAAGAGGTGATGGTGAGGGGTGGACCGGGGGCGGGATGCGAATAGGGGGTGGGGGGTCCAGGAAGAAGCAGTACCTGCGATGAGAAAAATATGGATTCCTGTCGGCAAGACAAATTGATCTCCAGTGTGTGGGAGGAGCAGGGAGGCTCCTGAAGGGAAATCTGCTGAGAGGGAGGGCAGGAAAACAAGAAGAAGACTGGACTTCAGGTTTTCTGTGTGTGTGTGTGAAGTGGTAGCCAGTGAACAAACACAATCTCGCAATCTTTCCCAGTCAGCAGCTGTCTACAACAAATGTATGCAGAAGCAAACAACTCTGAGTCGTAATAATTCCCTCATAATCTAATATCACCCGTCATGCTCTTTTTTCACCTTGTTTAGCGACCATATCACAATTACTGGGCTTTCTAAAGAAGCCGCAGACATTTTGTGACAGCTAGGCTATGAATGACGAAGAAAACTCCACATCCCAACTCTGTAACACAGGTTTAACCTTGTAGTGTCTGAGCAGAAGACAAGATGACTATGGTACAATCGATCAGGTTATTTTGTTAGACTTTGACAGAATTCTCCAGTCACAGAAGATACAACTGTTCTTGAAGGCAAAGTAGTACCTGTTGTTATTAGTAAACAGACCTTCTTAACCAAGATAAGAATTGTTTAACCCACAAAATTTTACTTTTACTAAAAGATACTAAAAGTGCCAAAGGCAAAGGGTTATAGAATGATTTGCATTTGATGTAATGCCAATGTGTTGTGCAGGCATAAAAATTTGGATTTTGGGTTTGAACACTGGGTGTGATTCGGCTTTGATGAAGTGCTGTCACAAACAGATGTAGAATATACAGTATATGATGTAAGTAAATATGTTATAGATCAGACAGCACTTTCATATTTTCAAAAGAAAACATCTAAGGCCAAATTGCCTAACGCACACTTAAAACTGAATATTTGATATATTAAATATATTAAAGCTATTTTAAGGTGTTTACATGATCTTTTAATCCACCTGTATATGTGTGTTTAGAGTCTCTGCATTATCTACACTTTCTACTCACCTGCATTACCTGTATCTGTGCAAAATTACTACTATTATTACTAATATGCGTGTGTGTTGGTGTGTGTGTCATTACTTCAGACACCTGTTACTACCATCGGCATATAAATATATACATACACACACACACACACACACACACGCCATATAAACAGGAAGTGGGTTATGTGAGTAGAAATGCCAACTCTCTCCTTTGGGAAACAGTGCCGGTTTCTGTTTTTTTCCACCTGACATACAGTTCACTGCATCGCATTTAACTGATAATTCAGTACATTTTCATACCAGTTGATGTTCTTAGAATCTTTTTCAGCATTTGTTGTGACACATTAGAGGTCCAACTTATATCCAGGGAATGAAAACTGACATTTGCTGCTTTAAAAAACATCTACGAGGTCAAACAAATGCACAAACAAATTTCGCTAACAGAAAATAAACAGAACAGAAAGTAAACAAAAAAAACAACAGCAATACATAACATTACTACATTACTATCGATTTGAAAAAGAGATTTGATAATCATGTACATATGATGACTGCAGCACACAGGAGCTTCATGCATAAAGCATATGACAGCAAAGGTAAATGTCACACAAACACAAAAAAATCCTACCAAGCATTAAACAGGTTATCACTTCATCTCAGAACCCATAAATCAACCACAAAGAATGTAGGAGACACATTTCAGGATCCACCAAAATGCAATAACACCATTGTTATTCCTAAACTATCCGACAACTTCAGATGTTTGCATCTGTTAAGGCGGCTGCTAAGGTTGCCTCCGAGCGCTGGCTGGGCGACACGGTTATCGGCAGGCGCCGCAGATTGGCACCTGTCACGGTGCATTCAAGCCCCTGCGAGTAACACTGACAGACAGGTCGGCGTGCCAGACCTGAGGTAGCACCCGTGGGTCCCCTGGCCTCCCTGGGTGGGTAGGCGGAAGTGAGATAAAAGTAAAAATAAAACAACTGTTGTTGTTGTTCTTTCACATGCCACAGAGGTCTCTCTTAGCACATTGTTTCATCAGTCAGATAATCTATTACCTAATTTTAAACCTAAATTGTATCTTATGTAGAAAAAGTGAAAATCTTCACCAATAATTAGAATCTTTACAACATTTAATTAAAAGAATAATAATCATTTTTCTGATATGATAATAACAATGAAAGGACCATTTTATAGTATGAAATCCTCCTCAATTACACACACACACACACACACACACACACACACCTAATATGATCAAAGAAATGTACTTAAGATATTTTGATATTGAACTGAAGAAGGTAACATTTCTGCATTTCATTCTGTAATTTTATTTTGGGCAGTTTCACAAAAGTTCTCCCAGCAGGACTCCCTCATCTGTCTCTTCACAGTCGAGAAGCTGTTTGATATCCATCCAATCAGGCCAGATTATTCCTTTATTTGAATCTGAGAAGCTGCTGCTCAGGCAATCCGAGTCCAAAGTATAGTTAATGTTCATTGAATATAATTTTATCTAACCTTTAAGTGAACCACATTAGTTAAAAAACTTCATGGAGAACAGAAATCTAAATCTGAGGCAGATATATACCATCGTATAAATAGAAAAATAACTAAAATGAAAACACAGAATGAAATGATTTGTTAAGGAGTGGAGTCTTTTCTTATGGGTAAGAATGTCATCATTAAAGGAATTAGAGGTTCTTCAAACTAAAGTCCTGGCCATTCATTCTATTTTATTTATTTCTGGTTCGGACGTCGGGGTCAAAGCAGTGGAATAAGCACCTCCTTATTGAAGCAGACAAGAGCAATGATCGATGCCAATCGCGTAATCAGGCTTTATTTGAAGGGGGTCGTTGATTCTCAGTCCATCAAGGTTAAGAGTGCTGCACTTGTCACGGCGTGATTTATTATTGCCAGGCAGCAGACGAACAACGTCGCATGCCAAGGGGGGGCATGGAGACGAAGTCCTGCCGTTTGTATTAATAAGTCCAGACGTTACGTGTGAGGCGCATTTTGGAAATTACCCTTGAAAAATTAGCATGTCATGATCAATCGTCATCAAATGATTCAAGGGGCGTGGCCTGAGCTTATTTAAATGGTATTCATCATCACATGCACAGAGGGTAAACTGGTGGATTGCTATTCAGATGTCTTTAGTACTAAAGAGTTATTTCACCCTCTCTTTGTTTTTGACCATTCAAGTGTGTTAGTGTGTGGGTGTGTGTGTGTGTGGGTGTGCATGTGACTGCTCTAAGTAACTCTGATAGGTATTTCCATGCATTTACATAAGAATATAGATCACTGTCCCCTGTTTTTGTTGAGAAATTGATCAATTCTTCTGAAAATAAAACATAAAAATAAGCTAAAAATGTGAGTAATTCTTGACACACGGTCAAAACGGGACACTGAACAGCAAGGTGTGCACTTAATAATGGTGATATTTCTTTTTCTTGTGATTCCAAGAACTGAAGATCATTTTTAGCAGCTTCATCATACTCACTATGAATGAA